TCTTTGTTTGTTTGAAAGATGGATGGGAGAAGGGAAGCAGGTGATAAGGGGAAGAAAGAGAGGAGGGAGGAGAGAAGGAGACAGAGGAGGGCCGAGAGGGCGAGGAGTATGAATGTTATTGGTAGTGTGGAGGAAGATGTGGAGGGAGAGGAGTGGTTGAGCAAGGAGGAGGCGAGGGAAAGAATGAAGGCGAAGAGGGAGTTAAGGAGGAGGATTCGGGCTTGGATAGAAGATGTGGAGCGAGAGGAGAGGTTGAGGAGGCAGGAGGAGGCGAGGGAAAGAATGGAGGCGAAGAGGGAGGAGAGGAGGAGGAGGATTCAGACTTGGATTGACGACGTTGAGAAAGAGAGAGTGGGCGAAGGTGAAGAAGAAGAAGACATTTATTGTTGTATCATTATATAAATAATTATGAATAAAAAGTTTGAAATGTAGTGTGTTTTTTTTTTCTAAAAGTAAAAGTCGAAATTGTGGATGATTTGTGGGGAATAAACTACTGAAGCGATCCGATTGAAACTTGGTAGAGTGATAGACAAATGGTTCCCGTCAATAGCAAAAATAACCGCATCCCAATCGAAGCTTTATTTGCCGAGATGTAAGCTTAGAAAGTGGAAAATTCAATGTAGCATGCTGCCTAAGCTCCGCGTAATCTCAGTCTAACTTCACGGACGGTCAGCCAGATGGTAGAGCTACCTGCCTGTCAAATTTCAATTCTTCGGACTTGGTCAAAATGTAGAGAAAATCACGTAGTTCTAACGACTGGGGAAGGTTTATTGGACCCTCATAGTTCTAATAACTGGGGGAGGTTTTTTGAACAATTATTTATTATAACCTTCATATAATATGTCAAACAATGTCCTGAAAACCTTTTTGTCCAAAATACCTTTGTTTCATAAAAAAAAACTTGACAAGTTGATTGTTCAGTCATTTTTCAAGTTTTTCCACTGAAGTTTTAACAGCTGACTCGTTTCGATGGTGTCTAACTGCATCTAAAAAATCAGCAGGTTTCTATGTTTTTCCTAGGAGCCCTAGTGCTTTGAAAGTGTTAGAACTCTCCAAATTTACTCAATAACTCAGAGAAAACTTGTTATTAGATGATGGGGCTCGTTAAAATGCAAGTGAGAGTGCAATTGTCGCATCTCTAAGTTGATTTTGGGGCTGAGAAATAAATCAAAAACAGTTTTTTTGTTTATTGCAAATGGTGTCCTAAAAAGCTTCCCTGGTTGTTAGAACTATGTCTATTTTCCTAAATGTCTAAGTCCAACTCTTACGAACAAACACCCATTTGGAAATCTGAATTTTTGCATGCAGTTAGGCATATCAAATTTACGTTCGGGGCCAGAAAAGCAGATTCTGGAAATGACTACAAAGTGCTTTCCTAAAGCTAGTTTAGGGGGCTGGGGCAAAAGTTCTAACAAATTCGGGTTTTCCTGACATACGTCCTTCAATGTTACTCAGATCTTGAATTAGGCCTATTTTGAATGAAGGAATGGGGTCTTTTTGCAGCATGAATGCCACTTATAGGGAAGATTAACCCTTTATTTTGAAAAGTCCTCTCCTCATTTATCAGGGCTTGAGACCTGCACGATATTGCTATCATGGCTGAGTTAAACTTTGTTTGTTGTTTTTGGATTCTGAAGACCAGGTACAAGAGAGTTCAATTGCAGTTCTATATCGCTATTGAACCCTCTGGTCCCAATCTTCCAAAATCCTTCAAAATCTTCTTCTGTCAAAGTGGTATTGTTGCTGTAGCTGAAAAATTCAAGTTTTGTTCTACCTACCTACCTTCTAACACATTCGGGTTCCAGA